GACAATGCATGAGTTGAAATAAATTTCAATAATTTATACATCAAACACCATTGTTTATCAATACAAACAATATTCTAAATCCTAAAAAGGTCGCTCTCCAACACAGAGGTCTAGCGTCTCAAGAATGGGTTGTATTGAAGGATCTATCGAATTTTACACACATGGCAGATATTCAGTCATGTTTTGGTGTTGTGATGAATGGAGTCTCCGAGACGAATCTTTAGTTGTCATTTGTGTGGTAATTTAGCTTTGCTTCAAGACTGGAAATGATTTAACATCTTTCTGACGATAAATCCATAGATGCAGAAGTGATTAATTCTGTAATCTTAAATATGAATTGTAATCGATAAATTACAATTAGAACATCTATTCGTATCATAATGTGTGAGTATATATCCTTAGACATTCCACAACTATTTCGACAAAATTAATGTAAATGTTTTATTTTTTGCTGTTTGTTTGTTGACGGACACCGGAGGAATTGGTTCGTCAGAAAAGCTTACTCATCATCTCGTAGGGCTGTTGGCGTCCTTTAGGTTCTTCTCGTTGGAAGCCGACGGATCGCCACGTCCTCTACGTGACTCCTAAATTAAAAGCGAAGAGCGATTGCTTTCACAAATTGACAATTTTGTGGTATAAAGGAGAGAATTTGATTCATCTCAACCCAGACCATACTTCATGTCGATTTGGCTTCTTTCACATTCTATTATTCCATAATAATCTATACAGTAAATCATAATCAAGAAATTATCAAAAAGTTGGAAATTTTTAGGTCAGATCAATAAAGAGGGTATCATATTACATTACCAAATGTTTATTACGAAATAGACGAAAGCTTTCTTTTCAATGTAAAGTATAAAAAGTAGAAATGTGGAAATTCGGAGAGAATTCAATTTCCACCAAACGAAACACCTTTTCCTCCTGAAAATTTTCGATATCTGGGTCACACAACCCAGTGTAGACCAAGAGCTTCAAAAACACAGTCAGTTTGGCGCCATTCCTGATGTACGTTCTGTGACACGTGTCACTTCACTCGCAAACCACCAACCGAGAAAACAAAATTAAATAACATGATTTCTTCCCTCAAACCCCTTTTTCCATTCATCTTTATGACACGATTATTATATAATTTTCCATTCCAGGGAGATGCCACGCCTCGGATGCTGTATGAACTGGAGAATCTGATGCGGTGATTTATGATCGAGAGGAATTAATGATCTCTGGAACTGGAGAAACTTCATAGTGTGGGAAATGAGGTGGAGACGGCATCGATGGTACAATGGCATTTCTGGCGAGTTTACGATGTGAGTTTGCTTGAGAAATTCTAAAGATGAATTGGGGATTCGAGTCAGGTATTATCTGCAGATATTCGACGTAAATGTCACGCTGAGTTCGTGGATATTTCCGAAGGGATGATGTTCGATTTTTCATGAAGAGGAATCGTTTGGAGTCCAGAAATAGGAATGATATAACCAGACAAAATGGATTGATGAATTTTTTGTATTTCTATTGAATGCTGATATTTGCTCTCTGCGGGACGGCTGACAGACGATATATTTGGAAAATTCTCCTACAACTTTTTTGTAGATTGACCCCCATGGTTTCACACGGACTCCATTATAAAAAAGGGTTTGATGTGTTCGTACTGATAGCTGTCATCAGGCAACAACATATGTTCATTATCTACTGTCCGTTATTTGCAGGGGATGGAAAAACGTCAGCTCTGTTGGTATGAATTCTTTTCGGTCAATTATGGACGATAATGAACGTTGAAATTTTATTGCTTTTCCGAAAAAAAATGATAAAACAGTAGCACTGGGATATTCTACATCCTGCACATATGACAGGCGCCTGGCAAAGACGTTATTGTTTGACGACACCGATCAGCTAAATTTTATTCTTTTTTTGTGATCGAAGCCATGTGATGGAGATGTGATACTTATCTTTGTGGAAAAAATATTCCAGGTTTCTGATGATATCATGGATTCTTGCAATTCCAAAAATTAGGGATGAATGGCCCACTTTTACAATCAGCCATTTTCTATTACGGCTCTACAGCGGAGGAACGAATGCTGAAGGGGGATTTCTAATGGGGCAAAAGTCAGGAACGGATCCACAAAAACTGATAGTGATCATTCTGAAATCAGGAAGTCTATCCTTCTTTGGATTTACGCCTCACTGAAATGCTCAGATTTAATCTGTCGTCTTGGCAATAGATCCAGTGATGGCTTGAGTGATCAGGATAGGATTAGAATTGTCTAGTCCAGATTGGATCTAAACCCTTCCATTAGAATCTGACAGAATCCTTACCCGGAAAGATTAACCAGAAAACACTGACCATAAATTATGTATCTTATCTGAGATCAGGTAACATTGGCTAAATTATTTCGTTTAAAATTGAACTCAGTACGTAATCAAGTTTTGATCCATAAAACCTAATCCTGATCAGGCTGCGATGAGAAATCAACTGCTTGTTTACATTCAGGATCGATCTAAGCCATGATCTATAGAGTAGGATAGAATCAGAACGGAGTGAGTCTGGGACTAATCCATAAAGAAGGGAGGGAATCCATTCCGTAGTAGGAATGGCATCCCCCTTTGGATTTAAGCCTGACGGAAATGCTAGGATTTAATCTGCGGTCTTGGTAATATATCCAGTAGTGGTTCTACTGATCAAGATAGGATTAGGATGGTTTCACCCAGGTTGGATCCAAAGCCTGCCTTTAGAATCTGACACAATCCTTATCCGGAAAGTCGATAAGTAGAAAGTTAACCAGAAAACACTGACCATTTATTCTATACCTAATCTGAGTTCAGGTAAACTTAGCTAAATTCTTTTATTTCTCTGTACATAATCAGAGATTAATCCATAAAACCTGATCCTGATCAGACTGGAATGAGGAATCAAATGCTTGTTTGAATTCAGGATCGATCCAAGTCATGCTCGTTAGAGTAGGATAAAATCAGAATTGAGTGAGCCACTTTTGATTTAGACCCTTCATTCAGAACCTTAATGGATCGTAATCTGAGAGGTTTAATCTAGAATGAAATTCAAAGTCACATCAGGCAGGAGTAAGAAACTGATCATTAAAAACGGTTTTTGATTAGTTTCGGATCAGAAATGTATCGGTTGTTAGAAATATCCTCTATCCTAAATTTTTATTCAGATGACTTTCTACTCCCTTTCCAGTTAGAATATAAACACAATCGATCGTTCATCCTAGACTGATAAAAACAATTCTCATTTTTTATTTGATTTGCTCTTCTCAGCAACCTGATCAGGGCATGATCAGTACCTGATCAGAACCTTGTCAGGTTCCGGAAAGAGCTCTACTGATTGGGATATCAATAAAATTGATCTTGCTTTGATATAGATAATCCTGCGCCCTCCGGATCAGGGCCATGTTAAACTCGTCGCATCTGTACCGCATCCATGATCAGGTTGCCTCAACTAAATGTCGACTCAGGATTTTTCATATTTGTAATGATGATTACTCGAAGTCCTCTCTCAGATTCAAAAGACACCGAGGTAATACAACTGAAGAACCTTTTTACGCCCATTGTTCATCATGGAAGTGCAGTATTTGGGACGGATTTCAGGGATAGAACAGTGTCACTAACGAGTGTTCTTCGACCAGACACAAAAGAGGAAAAAAAGAGCAAAAATTAGACAGTTTTATTTGACAGGCTGGATAAACGTAGTAATCAAAAATTGAAGAAGCGAAGGGGGGAGGGAAGTGAAATGGCAATATGCAGGGTGAGTTTGTCCTTCGTGGGCTGTGTTGATTCGAGCTAGTCGTTAACGTGCGTGTATAAATAGAAACTCGGACACGAGGCCGAATGAATCCAATGACTGGGGATGTACAGACACTGCTGGACATTTGTTGGGAGCGGATATTTGAATACATGAATTGTTGCAATAATTGCTGCTGTCTACGGAAAATAAACAATTTATCGGAATTTTGGAAGGGAGATTCTGCATGAAAAATTATGGCGTAATCTAGGTTCCATTAATTTCATAGAGTAATCAACAAATGATTGCTTTACAAGATCGTTGATGCAAATTTTGTTTATGTGGTGATTATGATGCCCGTCAGCTATTAACGAAGTTGTTTTTGGTTAAACTAGATCGCTTGGAAGATAATCGAAAATACAATTAGGACTTGTTAGAGCGTAAAGTATGGATTAAACGAGAGTTATCGGTCTCTTCGAACTCGATTTTTTTGGTTTCAGTAAGAGATAATTCTTGGAGTTTACTAAAACAACTGATGGACAGAAGAAAATAAGAAACAGCTGAATGATAGAACAGCTAAAACAGCTGATTGATAGAAGAAACAACATAGAAAAAATACATCCTGGAATATAGGAAAGAATGATGTCTTAAATTTAGATAATGCAGTCCGCTTTTTCGAAACGTTCAACCGAAAGAGCCTCACGAAGGGGGGCAACAGTTGCTCGATTTTCATTGGGTACTTTAAGATTGAAATTTATTTTTCCGTATGAATACAGGGGGAAAAGAAGGTTTCTAGTTTCCAGAGCTAAGTTATTGGTTCTAAGAAACTCCTAGTTCTAGAATGTATTGCACTCAGCATAAGAATCTGATTGCTCAATTTCAGAAGCAACATTTCCAACATTTTGGTTCCCCGGTGCGATCACCACCATCGGCAAAAATACGAAAGTTTTTTCAACGGTAATTACGGTAGGAATTCATTAGGAGAGGCCATCTATCGTGGAAAAATTGAATTCTCTTTTGTTTTGAATTAGTTATCACTAATAATTATTATTGATTCGGACAGATAGGTCATCAAGTTTGAATACGTCAACTTGATCAAATCCGGAACTGTTAGGCCTGATCAAGTCTTGATTAAAAACCGCGTTACATGACTGATCTGGCTTGATCCAGTCATCAGATCATTTTCTGATCAATCGTCAGGCCTGATTTGATCCAGTCCTGACTTAGACCTGACCAAAATTTCCACTCGGGAAGTGTCAAAAATTGGTTTATGTGGTACGGAATCCTTTCAGATTATTTATTTTTTCGAACTTGACAAATCCATGAAACAATCAAAAATTAAATTGACGATATCCTGGAATGATTTTTTGTACAAATGCATCCAATTTTATTGAATTCCCTCAGGCAAGTCAGTCCCACAGTCACAATACAATCCCCATTGGCCATATAAGCACTTTGGAGTGTGAGTTTCTTTGTACCATTTGCCATAGCTCTGTTTGCAGAGCGCAGGCGTGCAGTCGTGATCGTCAGTGCACGGTAAAATCTTGCTTTGAGCTGAAACGATTAACAATACAATTGTTAGATATGAACATACCAGTAGTACTATAGACTTATCGAGTGATGCATTTCAACGATGAGTTCATGAAAAATGTGATGATAGCTGCCAAGGCCGGAGTACGCGTCTCGGCGTTTTATTATTTGCGATTCGAAATCTTTGGAAAATGTCAACTACCAACGGTTCAATATCGGCAGATAATGAATATGAATGAATGTTCGTCATTCATGGGGCGGAAATAGATATGATTTTTCCTCTTTGAATGGTGAATGGGGAAATTTATTGAATGAATGAAGACATTGAACGGAAGAGAGAAACAGAAGAAAGAAGTTTCTGGTTATCGGAGTAAAGTTAATGATTTTAAGAAATTTCAAATTACATTTTTCATTTGAGAGTTGCCTTGAAGGATAAATTTTGAAGGGCAATTTTCTTATGATTAGTCCATCACTTAAAGAAATAATCTCGGGTCATTCGTTCCATTAGAAGAGAAATGAAGAAAGATAAATAGGTTATTCATATTTATCTTATGTTGAAGAGAATTAAGGCCAAAAATATGTTGTATACCATCAGTTTTCCTAAAAGTACTTTCCCAAAACCCTGTGTCTCTCTCCAAGCGTCCATCCAATGTTTCCATTAGACAGATCCTTTCACTCAAATATTTTATTACGGTTTTATAACTTAATCCTGAAAACTCCGAGCCCCAAATCGTTTTATTACCATTCAGGCCCGAATCCTTCGCAATCGTTTAATTGCCTCCTCGGTATTTTCCCAGCACCTTGGATCCCTAATCCTCCACTTTCCCAATGCCTCAGTTCGTAGAAACGTCAATCCGGTATTTCCCAATACCTCTCCCTATAATCCTCCTCCAGTGCGTACGTTCCCCTTACCTCCCTAAGTCCAGCCATCAAGGCTCATCCCTCACTTAAATTAATCAATCAACCACCTTGGGCCCTTCTCCCTCCAATCACTTCAACCCCTACTATTCACCCTCAGAGGAGTTTAACTAAAAACTCTCTGTACTCAACTTAATCAAAAGTATTCAAACAATCTAACAAGCTACATCTATTCCGGAAGAGATCCAAAGTATCTCAAATTGTACTTGTATATTTAGTCTTGAATAAAGATTTTGTGTTTAAATTGAAGAAATTTGTTTCCTCAATCCGGAATCCAACAAATAGATTATTTGTTTGCTAATAAGTTGGTATGAATGAAGTAGATGATCCATGTATGCGAAAATGACATAAAACAATTGTCAAAAGACAGTTTTCTTTGAGAATAAATTGTAGAATAAATCTCAAAAAACAATATTCACATGATGAGTCTCTCATAGAAAAAAAATAATCCTTGAAATTGGTTTCATCAGAAGACAAATGTAAAAAGATAATTAATCTATTAACAGCTACCTGATAAGTGGAGCTTGAAAGAAAATTGTCTTCCTAAAACTGTCTATATAAAACTCACTTGATAATGCGATGCTCATGATCGCAATGATCCCCACGATCAGGAATATATTCAACAGATATTTAGCCATATCAAAAATCGGAAGTACTCGAAATGTAGAATCGAACTGTTTCTACTGCCGTTGGAGAACAACTGTGATAAGTGACGCTTCTCCTTCTGCTTTTATTCTAGAAAATTCTCATCGTAAGCTCTCCCTTCTTCCTTCAAGAATGCTATAATTTCTTTCATATATTTCATCTCATTAAAGTTGATATTGCGATTAAATACTGATTATCTCTGTTTTTTGTTCGTTTCTTTCCTGGTGAGCATGAAAAACAGGAAACTATCAAGTGAATATGAATTTCTAAAGTTACAAGGAAAATGAGCAGTTTTTCGCATGATTGCATATTCTAAGCTTATCTCGTGTTATTTTCCATAAAGGTTTTTTTTCAAATGTCAGCTGATGGACAACCTCTTGATCAAACATTTTCCTTCAATTTTGAGTAGAAATTATTGAACGCAGAAAAAGTAACATTGCTAATTGAAAAAAAATTTAATATAGAAGCCATGATTTCCAATATCCGTTTATCTAGAATCGAGAATTTTCGTCCAATTTCTAAAAAGTAAAATATTTGAAATAGATCGTGAAAATTGCGATGAATTCCAGGTTAAAATTTTCTAAATTCAGGAAACAATAATTTTTTAAATGCTTTTTTCTCGGGCCTAGAAAATACGTCATAATTAATAGCAAAGAAGTGTATGAGAGCGATAACCAAAACTTTTATTAATTGCAGGTCATTCTGTAATGCGAAAATGAGCAAATAGTCCGAATTTTTTCAATCACAGGATGTTTTATCCTTCTTTCACAATAGAAATTGCCAGAAAACTAGACAAAGAACAGAACTGATGTCAGAAAAATATTCTTCAATTCGCTCTAATGGGTAATTCGCAATTCGGTTTCTCTTATTTTTAATCCTTCTGTCACCATTCTCTTCTTGTATTTTTATTTTTGCTTCCATATGTATACCGTCTCGGGTTTTTACATTTTGTTCCCTTTCCTATCTGCGTTACCATGGGCCGACTTACTTTATCTCCAACTGCACCCCATTCGGGATTGGACTGCCAGGGAAACCATGGAAAACCTCAGTCTTGCAGCCGGCCGATAATACAGGGATTGCACTGTGTCCATTGGTCATACTGACTCAATGGGCACAGTGGTTCTCTACATTCGTGCCTAGCGACTGTAGTTCCACGCGGTTAATGCCTAAGCGGACACCCACCCAAGTACTGGGCAGACTGAACGCTGCTTAGCTTGGATAACCGCCGTATCCACACACTCCCCGCGTGACCACTACAGCCAGCTTTTTCTTCTTGGATTTTTTCATGTTATAGTATCATCGTTTGAAATATCATCAAATTTTTGCGTATCATTTCGTTTTGTTAAATAATCCTATATTCAGACCATTTCAAGCCTCGAATTCGTTTTCAGTCCAGCTTTAATCAAGGTTTAATCAATGTATAGTCGGGTTTTAATCGGAGTTGATTCAGGATTTAGCCAGAGTTGAACCCAGATTCTGTCAGAAGTTAGTTGGGACCATAAATCAATATGAATGAGTATTCAACATAATAGACAGGCACCTGAGTTAGAGATTTTTACAGATACAGATTTTTACAGATAGAGATTTTTATGTAAAAACCTCATGGCGGTATTGCACCAATTGATAAATACATACATACAGGGGCTTATTCTCGAGTAGTGTGAAGATACTTTCACACGTGAATATTTTTCGCCGATGGATCTTGTCTCCCAGTGACATTCACACGTGTGAAGATTCGTACGAGAATACTTGACCTGAAGCGTGTGTAGAAATATATGTGTAGAAATACTTTGTTTTTCGTCCATTAGGTTAACAAAAAGTGTGGCTGTAATGGTTTGCTTATGCTGTAATGGTATGCTTAGGATTTGCAAAAATGGATAATTTATAGAGATATCTACTCTTTGATGTGTTCCAAAGGCGACGGACGTGGCAATCACGATGGACGAAATGGTGTGTGAATATTGACATTTGTCGACGAAAAATATTCACATGTGAAGCGGAGGTCTCTAGAGCGGATATCCACGTTCGCACATGAAATCTATGAAACCTCGGCTTTCGCACAAGAAAGTATCTTCGCACAATTCGAGAATAGGCCCCCAGACACCATTACTCGAAATATATGTGTGAACAGCTCATCGTCGCTGGTACATTGGATCTGTTTCTGCCTACTTTTTATATTTATTCCGAATTCCTTACATCTTTCTCTGTTGGTATCGGGGATAACTCGATTAACGACACTCTACGGATGCCCAAACAATTCTGTTGCACAGTTCACCGTGTTTTTGTTAAAGAATTGAGTCGATGATCCACCGAATTACCATTGCTCCGAGCGCTCGATAAGTTTATATATAACAAATCATGGGGCATTTGTTATAGAGGCATTAAAAAAATACGCTATTCATACAATATTGAACTAATGGCGCATGTGTAAAAAAACAAGTTTTGCAAATCCATTGTTTTCCACTAAATTTTAGGAACTTTTTCCTATGTGAAATATCCAATAAACTTCACTGTGAATAAAGGTATAACAGACATCTTCCATTGAAAAATCATGAAACTCTTCATTCCTGTATCTATGCAATTTATAATATTTTATTACGTAAGAATTTCATGATGACATAAAGTGGACATCGTCCATTGAAATGGGTCATAAAATGAGGAAAAAGAGAAAACTCGATATGAAAAAGTAAAGGTGGGTCAATTTGTGGTAGTCGCAGGTGTTGCAATATTCAAGTTCCAAACGTGCTACCACATATCCCTCTGAACTTGCGCACAGAACCCCCGGTGGAATCTCAATATTAGGCCAATTTGCCGGTTCGCGACTGCAGTGAGACTGGGGACGTTCACCTGAGGCTTTTCCAACCGACCAAAACTGCCAGAGCCATCGGAAACAGGATATTGCTGAGGTAATCGGTTTATTAGGTCCGACTGAATTTTCGTGCAAGCGCTTTCGAGAGAGTCCTCTCACGAATGTTCAATATGATAAGTCACTATTTCCGTTTTTGCGGATTAATGTCATTCACAAAATCGACGTCTGAAGAGGGAAGACGAGACGAGTGGAATCCCCAGTGGGAATTTGAGAATTTTCGAGTAAAGTTGGTCGTGAGTGCTGTTCGGAGTTGCGGATTAGAGGCACTGATAGAGACTTTTATCTTGGTACTCAAGGGATGGAGGAATGATCGATAGCCATAGGAAGAGATATGTTATGAGAACTATGCGGTGAATATTTAATTCAGGCTATTGATTCTATCCTGATTAGTCAGACCACAATGAGAGGGCAGATTAGACGCTACTATTTTGATAAGACTGCGTACGAGACGTATCAAAACAAAACTTTATTGTCAGAATATCCTAATTGAAGTTTTGCATCAAGACTCGGTTGGGATCTCAAAACAATGGCTAGATCCAAAACGGATCTTTCACACGATTAACTATGGATCGGATCCCGCACCGAGAGAACAGATTAAATCTTAACATTTTGATTGGTTTAAACAGTTTCATTTCTGATCTCCAACTGCTGAACATTGGGTTTGAATCTCCACTTGAGCGATACACAATTTACCAGAGCCTACATCAGATACTGATACGATTCTGATCAGCATTTATTGATTTATCTTTCGAATCAGGATCTGATAGGATTTTTAATAGAATACCTGTATCAGGAATCAAAGCCCGATTGGTCCGATCAAAAAGACGTTTCATTACTGATCCGAGTCTGATCGGAAATCAGATAATCAGGCACATATGTGGTTCTTTCAGAGTGGAAATCCAGCTCAGTTTGTCCGAGCGCAGATCAGACACAGATCCGATGCTGGTCCGAATTTCTTGATTAGACTTTCAGATCAGAATCTGGTAAGATGTTGAACAGAGTATTTGAATCCAACATGGCCGAATGAATTGCGATTCAAGTTTGATCAGGTAAATCGCAATTAGAACCGTATCAGATTTGGTACTAATCAGATAGATCGAATGCTGGCATTTTCATCAAACGTGAATCAAAACAGGCGTTGCATTCCTGATCCTAAACTGATGAGTTTTTAATGATCAGTCTCTTGTTCTAACATATTTAGTATTTCCATTCGATTAATCTTGAAGAAAATATCCTGGTAAATTTTCAATACTCACAAATATTATTCTTTGCTCAGCATTTTGGCCCATATATCTAATGAAATCCCAGAAAATATCTGACAAATATTTGCACTTTAGTGCTGATTGTGTTTACACACAACCTCGTGAACAAGGAATTGCATGTACCGAGTTAACCATCTCATTGTGGGTATATACCCTGAAATGTACGCGCGGTGATGAGCCGTAAATACACAGATAAATTATAATGCATTGTGTTGGTCTCTTCCCTACTATTGAATTTTCACGAAATAATGTTAAATCCTCGATATCCCAACCTCTGGAAATAAAAAGGCTCATTTGGATTCGAATCAGAGGCATTCTATAAATTTTTGAATCACAACTGGTTTCAATGCTGCGAGGCGGTGCAGATTAGTACTTCTCAACTTCACTCCATGTGAATCCGCGACCACAAAAGCGGGAGAAGCTACTCTCCAAACAGCTAACTGAAACTATAAATTAAAAAAACCGAGACATGGATGGCTATTGTATTGAATTCGTATTGACTCACAGTTTTTGTCAAAGTGATTTTCAATATATACGTATTGTCTCACAAAGCGATTATCCCAAAATTTGGTGAAACTGTACTAACAACATGGTTCTCAACGATCAATTAACAAGTTTTGTCTACAAATGGATTATTTTATTGCGGAAATACCTTCGCACATTCAATGAAGTTTAATTAATGAATATTGTTCTATATATCTATCCTTGACCCATCATCGAAACAACTGAATTACTCCATATGCTCGTGTTTTACTGCAACTGTTTTTTATGGACATTTCTACCTTGGTCATGCTGTTATTTATATGAATGTGTGTGGCAGTGAATTTGCTTTGTTAAATTTATATGTTTGTATAGGTGAAACACATCCATTCGACTGAAAAAAGAAGCGTTTAGTCGAAAAGCTATCGTTTGTATTTGTACC